AAGAAAAATCATATTAAAGATTTCAATTAATATTTTTAAACTTTCAATTCGACTTTAAAATTTGTTTATGTATGTTGAATGGGACAGTCTTGCATGATATAATAGCTATTTCTGTGGTGTTTAATTGCATAAAGGAACGGTTGACATCTTCATGATTGTTATAGGTTTCTATACAAATTCCACCGCTCGATTTTGACAGATTAATAGTGAAATAAAGTCAAAATTCCATAGTTTACTCTATCATGTCTTTTTCTTACCTCTTTCCATTGGAAATAAAAAAATATATAAATATTGCTGTTAAATCTCATCTAGCGATGAACGTCTATCCAACCAATTATTTTGCTTATCATTTTAACCAATCATTGCAATCGATGATACTCAAAAGTCGATTCATCCTGTGCTTACAGAAATGTTCTAAACAAATGTTTCTACCATCTCATTACAGGACACATATTGGTACCTGATATTTCAATCACTAAGCTATTGTGATGATTGTTGTCATCTGCATGTAGAATTGATCTTGTCTTTAAAAAGGGAGCAGGCCTGGGTAACACTGAACATTTTACACTAATGGTATGTGTCATTGGTATCTTTGAAGTGCTTAGAGTATAAGTGTACATATTTTTGACCTCATGTACATGTGTACCAACATATACCTGTCACATACAGGTACTCTATATCTAATTACTTATATACCTATCATCACCCTAATACATGTGGGAAATCCTTGTCCTTTTTAAGGGCCAAAGCCTATAAATTAATTTCAAATTTAAGTTTTAAAAATTTCAAATAATTCTACATTCGATTGAAAATTCATTTCATTTCACTACCATGTACGCTGTGATTTTGTGTTTAGCCTATGACTGCTACCAGTGCACTGTCTGAGCTCTCACAGCAGTTAATGGAGCCATGTACACATCACCAGGGCCGGGCACCTGTTAATTGGTATAGATTTCCTATCCCTAATCACAGCACATTTACATATTAGCCTTATATGGCAAACTCGACCTAATTAGGGGCACTTTGCCAGTGACTATGTTAGGAATGTGGTCATTAAACAGTGCATTACATCGTTAACACAGAACCCTATCATTTGTTCTTGTTTTAATCTGTTGATGCAATTACAAATACGTTCCTGACTCATGAACACCTAAAGTGCCTTTTATTAGACACTATGGCTATCATTGAAATGTCAGGAAATAAAGTCTGTCTTCTTTGAAATAAAAACAAACTAGATAGTTAAATCATAAGTATAAGAAAAAGTCCAACAGTTCTAGAGAGTTTTAACTCATTCACCCCTGAAATTTCATAATTAACTATGCCAACCTTTGAATTTGAAGAGTTCAAATGTGTCCTAAGGGGTGAATGAGTTAAGGACCATGGGAACATCCAGTTACTTCATGGAGATTCCAAAACTATTGGCGTTGAAAGGAGCATTATAATCCATAGATCCAGTTACTCAAGGGAGTTCAGATCAATGGACGCAATAGATCAAGTTCCTCCAGGGAGTTGTACTGACTGTCAATTGGAATCTGTATAACCAGGCACTCTAGGGAGTCACACTCAGGGACTTTTCAGAACGATATCATTCCACGGAATTTCATGACCAATGGAGTCTAGATTCTATAACTGCAATTAAGGCCTGTTTTACACCAACATTGTTCCCTTACAAAATCTAGCGATTCTCACACCAATTAAGTCCTACTATGATGTTCTGAGGCCATTGACAGTCGTTATAATTAGATACACATGTATCGCTATAACAATATGACAGACCTAAGTGATCAAAAAGTTTTATCATATCAAAGTAAATCAGCGAATAGACTGACCTACTTTCATCTTTTTAACTTTGTTACATACCATATATTCATATCTCAATTAGTTCCTATAGACTGAGTGTAGGATTATAAATATTTACTTTATTTATACAGTATAAATATGACTGATTTTATCTCTCTAACATCTCCAAAAATACCAGCACTCTGGGGTATATATTGAGTGTACACTGTTTATATTTGGTGCTAACATGTACACTTCATTACTGCAGCTGTCTACACTTAGCTCTCTGTATACCTACAGTGCCATGTGTGACAATGAGATGGAATCTCGTGGCAAACTCAGCATTTCTAGCTGTTTAAACCAGCATATGTCAACACACTCTGTGCCAGTACGTTATCACTGAAACCAACCATTCAACCAACATTTTCTCAAGAAAAAAAATGATTACAAAAAAAAAATAAACACATGCAACACTCCTGGTATCTTATCAATGCAAACATCCTGCCTCCAAATGTGTTCAGTCGAGAGATTCTCAAGGTCACCACACCAATTATATATAGTCACGTCCAAGGTCACCCTGAAAGACCTCGTATAGAATAATTCTACAACTTACATGACAACGGTGCAACAGCGTATGGTATATACTACCCGGTATATAGTAGAACCTTATTATATTGACAACCATTTGTCAATCAAAATGTTGGCGTTATAAAGGTTTTAGCGATACACAATTACACGGAGAAAGACATATATAGGAATAAATACAAAGAGGGGAAACTTGGACCTGAAATACATTGGAGACAAATGAAAAGAAAGGCCTACTACATGTAATAAGGTTTTACTGTGTTCACATAAATATGCGTAACTGGGAGGAATGTCATGATTCCATGTCTTAGTGATGACAATTTGACATGATGGCACTTTAAGATCGCCCTTGTTTGGGTCCATTGGCGATGGACACCTTGGTCATATAACCTTTGTTTTTACAAAGACATTAAACCAAAATCAACTGAAGATATTGAACGTCATTAGAGCTATATAGCAGTACCACGCAAGAATGGATACCAAGGTAACACATATAAAATTGAATAAGTGTAATACAACTATAAGTCTAAATGGGGATACAATGTTTTAGGACAACTAGCTTGCCCATTGCTTCAGGAATCATAACTGCGACCTCCAGGCCCAAATTTCATAAACATTTCTAGACTTCAGTTTTCCTAAACATTGCTGGGGTTTGGGAAAAATTCCTCAACTTAAGATTTTCCTTAACTCGTGAAAATCGTCAGTAAAGGAATTTCCTTAATTTAAGGAAACCTACCAGCAATAGAATACATTGATGTTTACTTTTTGGTAGAATTAACCCTCACACCCCATGTGTGTGACACTTTTATTCATTTATTATAAAATTTGTTCTTAGTTAAAATTTTCCACCTAACACCAGCTAACAAATCATTTACTGAGGTAGCTGGTGTCCGTAGTATAGGTAGACTGTTATCTTACAGTGATAATCGGGTGTCCCACATTTCACAAGACTGACACAGATTTCTGTGACCCAATACCCTCAAACCGACCACGCAACATACCCTCAAACCCACGACGCAACATACCCTCAAACTGACGACGCAACATACCCTCAAACTGACGACGCAACATACCCTCAAACTGACGACGCAACATACATCGTACACACGGGTCCATGACACCAACCATCTTTGTGAAATTATCAAACAAAGTTCAAAAAAATCCTGAAACTCATGACTGACTAGAGGTTTATTCAAGGGATTGTTTTCCCTACACAATAATCATAACTGGATGTACTTAAGTGTTGATATGTCTTGCCTTTCAGGAAAATAAACAGAAATAGCCATAGATGATTACACATACCAGATAATACATTCATCTTTTATACGATTTAAAACCCTGTCATTGACTTCCTTACCTGATACCTCTGACTTTGTGACTTTATGTGAACACATGAAAAACAAAATCCTAATAATAGAAACATTGACTAGTGCAGATTGCATACCAGGAATTCATCTAGGTATTTTGGGAAATTCAGCTTGACCAGGAAAGTTGAGAATTTTCAAATGATGATAATAATGTGAAATGAAATATTTCTTCTTTTACCCATTTAAAATTGTCTAAGCTATCATACTTTTTATAATTCATAAATTACTTGAAAAGACCAATAATTGATGTTTCGAGTTCAACAATTGGGACATTATCCTGGAGAACTATATATATCTGACCTAAAATGGGCAGTAAAAATCCCTTGAGTATTAACAACAATACTTTCAATGTCCTGGGAAGCAGACATAGAAATCCTATAATATAGTGTGGAATACACCATATATAAATCTTTGTTTTACATTTATATTACCTAAATCCCAATAATTGTTGGTGTTCTTGCATGGACAAGACAATAGTCAGTGAAATTTCGAAGGGTAAAAGATGACAAAAGTCAAAGTTCTTTACCCCTAGTGTAAAATAGTATGACATCTGGTACAGGTTTAACTTCTAGGACACACCAGTCAAATGTACAAGATCCGAGACAAAGCGTCCAACTTTTGACACCTAGGACCAAACAGACATACTTTTGACACCTAGGACTAAACAGACATACTGTTGACACCTAGGACTAAACAGACATCCTTTTGACACCTAGGACTAAACAGACATACTTTTGACACGTAGGACCAAACAGACATACTTTTGACACCTAGAACTAAACAGACAAACTTTTGACACCTAGGACCAAACAGATATACTTTTGACACCTAGGACTAAACAGACGTACTTTTGACACCTAGAACAAAACAGACATACTTTTGACACCTAGGATCAAACAGACATACTTTTGACACCTAGGACTAAACAGACATACTTTTGACACCTAGGACCAAACAGACATACTTTTGACACCTAAGACTAAACAGACATACTTTTGACACCTAGAACTAAACAGACATACTTTCGACACCTAGGACTAAACAGACATACTTTTGACACCTAGGACTAAACAGACATACTTTTGACAAAAGATCAGTCAAATTTCTCCAGTTAGGAAGAATCAAATTTCTTGTGTCAAAAATTGAGATTGCACAGTTTGTGATTTTCCGGTAAGGAGGCCAGCACTTGTCTCTGTGTATGAACAATGCGGATTGTGTGAGTCGTTGGTTCAGTTGTGCTTATGTGAATATTTAAGATAAAGTACTGACCCTTCGCTCCAGTTCCATACTCCTCTAAAATGTGAACAGTCTCTCCAATCTTTAGGCGTAATCCATTCTTAACATCTCCCGCAAAGTTAAATATGGCTGAAACATAAAACATAACGTTACCATCAATGTTACTAATGTAGTCATCAATTTTAATATCTGATACACAATTATTCCAATTATTCAAGAATAGCTTACTGACAATTCTTGAACAGTTCTTAAAGATTTCACAGGGTTGATTACAATGCAGGAACAGATCTGGAACAGTTCTTGAACTTTCAGCCATTTTGATGTTCAACGACTGTTTGAATTGTTATTGAATTGTTTTGGAATAGTTCTTGCAGAACAATTCTTGAATAGTTATTGAGAATTTCACAGGAGCATTGACATGTCATGTACGTAAAGAATCTACAGTCATTAGATTGCTCTACCATGGATCCATGTTTCTGATTGTTTGTCCGAGAGAAATTCTAAATCATTTTACGTAAAATTACGTGTTACATGTAATAAATCGAAATTTTAAATGACATTGGGAAGATATTCTGTACAGTAAGGAAAATGACATTTAGTTGGGAAGATATTCTGTACACTAAGGAAAATGACATTTAGTTGGGAAGATATTCTGTACACTAAGCAAAATGAAATTTCTTATTTTTTATTTCGAGTGGATCATATAACTGGAGCAATGTGGAACCATATAGAATCTGTATTGTTACCTGTAAATTGTTATTCCGAAAATAGAAATCTTTCGACACGTATACAGCAATAGAGTTCTGTAGATCTAAATGGTCCTTTATTTAGCCAGCAGTTTGTTAAGTGACCTGCTATTTTATCGATTTCTTACACCCTATCACAATGTCCTACTGTAATTGATAAATTACATCACAGATAAAAACATGTCACACAGAGCAAGCCTTCATCGTGATGAAGTACTACTCTAGAATACCTCAAGTTCAACCAGATTACAAACCACATACTTAAACACATACAGGTACAACATAGCACTAATGTATTGAACGTTATAGATCTACACAATGTGGGCTGAATAATGAACAATCTATACTGTTTAGTATGCTCCAGCCTAGGCCTGCTGTCATATGGGAGGGGGTAAATTGTGTCAAGGACAGCTAGCTAGGGTATAGGGGAGGGGGTAAATTGTGCCGAGGACAGGTAGCTAGGGTATATGGGAGGGGGTAAATTGTGCCAAGGACAGCTAGCTAGGGTATATGGGAGGGAGTAAATTGTGTCAAGGACAGCAAGCTAGGGTATATGGGAGGGGGTAAATTGTGTCAGGGACAGCTAGCTAGGGTATATGGGAGGGAGTAAATTGTGTCAAGGACAGCAAGCTAGGGTATATGGGAGGGGGTAAATTGTGGCAAGGACAGCTAGCTAGGGTATATGGGAGGGAGTAAATTGTGTCAAGGACAGCAAGCTAGGGTATATGGGAGGGGGTAAATTGTGTCGAGGACAGCTAGCTAGGGTATATGGGAGGGAGTAAATTGTGTCAAGGACAGCAAGCTAGGGTATATGGGAGGGGGTAAATTGTGGCAAGGACAGCTAGCTAGGGTATATGGGAGGGGGAAAATTGTGCCGAGGACAGCCAGCTAGGGCATATGGGAGGGGGTAAATTGTGTCAAGGACAGCGAGCGAGGGTATATGGGAGGGGGTAAATTGTGGCAAGGACAGCTAGCTAGGGTATATGGGAGGGGGTAAATTGTGCCGAGGACAGCCAGCTAGGGCATATGGGAGGGGGTAAATTGTGTCAAGGCCAGCTAGGTAGGGTATATGGGAGGGGGTAAATTGTGGCAAGGACAGCTAGCTAGGGTATATGGGAGGGGGTAAATTGTGGCAAGGACAGCTAGCTAGGGTATATGGGAGGGGGGAAATTGTGTCAACGACAGCTAGCTAGGGTATATGGGAGGGGGTAAATTGTGCCGAGGACAGCCAGCTAGGGTATACATATATACCCCCAGTACTGGTTGAAATGTATTAGATAAATTAATCGTCAGCAACTTCAATGAACAGAAATTAAATAATACATTTTTACAGTACGTCTCAAATTGATATCATTGAGAAATCAATTATATGCATCCTCAAAATGTTTGTGAAATAAAAATGAAATGAAGGAATGTATATTTTTTTTTTTTTTTTTTTGGCTCAAGGTCATTTTTTCTAAATTGTCGAAACCTGAAGGAAACAACTCCATATACATATGTTCTAGATGTCATTTTGGCTCAAAATGTAACTGGGGTAGTTACAGTATGTGGTTTTATTAACCTCCCTTAAAGCTTGCTCCTTAAGAAATTATTTTAATGAAAACGGATGTTTCACACACATAATGATAAATACTGTATATCATCAAAGGAGGATCTACTATGACTCATTATAATAATTTAACCACAATATTTGAACTATAGATTTCTATTACTGGATTTACCTGTATATGTTTTACCATACCACTAAGTTATCTTTTACCTGTCTGTAGACACTCGTTGAATTTTCCAATCTAGCTCTATAATAACCAATCAAAACGAGAAATAGTGATCATGTGCTAGTGAGCATGTACGCATATTTTACTTAGGAACGTCCCATCTTTATACATCACAGCTGTCCTGAGGACGTCAAATCGTGTACAAAACAAAACAAATAAATCTGACAGGTGTTCATACATTATAGAAAAGATGTTCAAAGTGTTTATGATGAGGATGATATGTGGAAACACCTTAGAGACCTAGCTTCAGAAGTCCAGCTGTTCAGGGTTATATATGTCTCCATATGACGTAAATGATGATCAGTTTCCTTTTTTTATATAATTTAAATGCTAATATCATTCAGATTTATTTAAACACAGTGGGATACCACGTTACTGAACATTCAGACATTAATAATGTGGGACCCACATACTAGGCGGGGTAGATGTGTATATATATAGGTTCCCCTTCAATGACTTGAACACAGTGTTTCAACTACAACATATACATACTACACTATGATTCTGTAACAGAGGAAAGCAACCGTCTACCTTCCAGAAACCTGACGCCCGATATCAAGACAGCGATCAGAAGTGTAAATTTTTTAAAGGACCTTTAAATTACAGGAAACCTTCAGGCTAAAACCTTGCATTATGTAGTATACATACTGGTCAGATATTTCTGGTACAATGGTGTCACAATTTAAACTTCCTGTTTTCCTGAGTACGGACACCCCAAAAGGTGTAATACACAAACATCAGTAACACAATAAGTTAAAGTTAACATACAGAATGTATTCATCACATTTCTTTTGAGTGACTTTAACATATATAGCATTTAATATTCTGTAGCTTTGTACATTCAAATATCTTAAAATCAAATTCCATATAATAACAATCTATATGATTCTACTCCCTCTACAGCAGGCACACCACTAGAGAATGCCTCTCTAAGTTTTTGTACACAACAACCTCCCCTCTATTTCATTTTTAGATATTATTGTAGTGTGACTGGGCAAATCAACTTATTCACCCCTGAAGACACATTTGAACTCTTCCATTTCAGAGATTGGAATAGTTCATTATGAAATTTTGGGGGTGAATGAGTTAAGGTACTATACCTTTGACCAGCACTTAGCTAAGTTGGTTATTAGCACAACAGTATACATGTAATGATCAGAGGTCCTGGGTTTGAATCCTGGTTTGGCCCTGTTGCATCATTACATTGTCGATTTTTCATCTTTACTACAATTTTTCATGAAACTTCTGTAAGGTATAATTGTTCTCTTTACATTAATGATTTATGAAATCTCTAGTTATGATGAATATTTTTTTTTTTACATTTTTCAGGTAGTGGTGCGATATCCTTGATCCAGATCAGATATCCATCAAAAAAACAAAGTTGTTCAAAGTCTGATCATAATTTGAGCTTAATTTGAGCTTAACTAGTGGTTAACACAAATATTCAAAAAGCTGTTTTTGAACTCCAATACATATTGTAGTCTAGTTTGGAATTTCAATCTTTTTGAACATATATTGGATGAAAGTTTTTGCATTTTCTTGTTTTTATGTAAGCTATAAGCCAGTATTGTACAGATGCATTGTGGTTAGACAAATTCACTACTTCTATCATTTGGCAAAATTGAAAACAAATCAATATTCACAAATTATTGTACGCAGCTTAAACAACATCATGACAGATCCTAAAGAATCATATTTGTCTGATATGTGACTAATTTTCCCCATTGAATGTCTTTTCTAAGAAGTTCTACAATTCATAGAATTTTGGCATTTTACAAATTAGTTTTATAAATGTTTCACTACTGTATATATATTTTTCTGTCATCTAGGAGAGAGAGAGAGATACATGTGGCTGAAACACCCCTATTCCCCATTACCACATCCTACTAGAACTTAAGTGGTGTGGAGTGGCCTCACTTAAGGTCCTGTCCATTCATGTATGTGTATCAACCTAGAGTATCTATGTAGTTGGTGTGTCATATAGAAATAATGTGCATATACCCTTAAATTTTTAGAGTCAAATTGTAATCCGAATCACAAAGGAAATGACTGCTTGTTAAGGAAAACTTCAATTCTGAGTAAGTAACTGTAACCCTTAGTGCAATGTCATAAAGATATCTACTTCATACAAAAAAACAACTAATAGCGTATATTAGGTATTTATCATAGTACAGTATCTAATTTAACGTATATCAGGTATTTATCATAGTACAGTATCTAATTTAATGTATATCAGGTATTTATCATTGTACAGTATCTAATTTAACGTATATTAGGTATTTATCATAGTACAGTATCTAATTTAATGTATATCAGGTATTTATCATTGTACAGTATCTAATTCCAACAATCAGAAATAGAAAAGTGAAATCAACAGTTGATTATCATGTTTACAATGTTTTCATTGCCGCATTGGTTTATCTAAATAACCCAAACACAAATACCTAGCTCTTGTGTTCTTTTGCTTCACCAAATTTTAGTCAGAGACATGGCATCTCTGACTAAAATTTGGTGAAGCAACACTTTAAAACCGCCATGTCTCTGACTAAAACTTGGTTGAAGCAACACTCTGAAACTGCCATGTCTCTGACTAAAACTTGGTTGAAGCAACACTCTAAAACTGCCATGTCTCTGACTAAAATTTGGTGAAGCAACACTCTAAAACTGCCATGTCTCTGACTAAAATTTGGTTGAAGCAACACTCTAAAACTGCCATGTCTCTGACTAAAACTTGGTGAAGCAACACTCTAAAACTGCCATGTCTCTGACTAAAATTTGGTGAAGCAATACTCTAAAACTGCCATGTCTCTGACTAAAACTTGATGAAGCAACACTCTAAAACTGCCCTGTCTCTGACTAAAATTTGGTGAAGCAACACTCTACATAACAAGCTCAATCTAAATCATTGCTGAGATCTTACATTACATACATATAAACATGTATATATAACCATGTACATTATTGTGTTGTTCGTTTTAATAACGAAGGAATTATATAATTAGGCCAGTCCTATTTTGGCGGCTCTAGATCTGTGCTTGACATATTATGCCTGAATGGTCAGGGAGGGTTCATGCATGGTACTATTTGGTGCCATTTAAGCAAAGACGATAATCTACCTTCTAATACAATGGAATCAGCTGTTTTTGCCTTCTTTCAGAAACAATTTATCTCATTTTTAACACTGATGTTATATTATTTACCAACTCCAATGTAGTAAATCCTTCCCTGTAATCTAATTAAAGTTAGACTTGTAATTTTACTCCTACTACCGATACACATACTCCACACAAGCAAAATTGCAAGTCTAATACCAATTAGATTGTTTTCATACCTTTTATTCTAGTTTAAGAAAAACATATTTGTCACACTGAAAGTCAGTTCGGATTGATGATAATTAATTTGAACTGCAGCTGACACAAACATGTTTTACGGGCTCCACTCTATGTCACAAGTAAAATGCAATTTGTGACTGCAAGACTACCAATACATGCTCATGAATTTGATAATACCAGGCTTGGGCGTTATCCCTTAAATATTTATCATTCTATATACATGTATCAGTTTAACTTCTGTTCCTGACAATAAATTGATGTGTTGGGTTTTACCTAGGTTACACAGACATCAGGAACAAGTTTCCTGAGATAACTATTTTATTTTTATTCACAACTTTTATATTCTTTGCCTTTAAACTAATTGGTGCATTTGGATTTACTATCAAAAATTGACAGAAATGAAGAATTTTGTACAAAAATCAGGTGCATACATGTAGCTGCCAATATGCTGATACGCACTAGGTGAATCCACCAAATTTTCAAACAGTTAAAATGAAACAAAAACACTGCTTGTTGTAACACCCCCCCNCCTGTCCTAGTCCTGCTCCTAAACTAATTCACTCTGAACAAGGGCTACATGTAGCTACACCCCTGTAAGTGAGAACTGGTATGAAAGGTAATAATTATGCATTGATCAACAGGAGAAAAATAAAAATGTGGATCGAGTTCACTTGCTGCATAAATATGGGTCTAATAAAAGTCTGAGTCATTCTGCTTTCCATATCAAATTATTACAGTACCCCATGGATTGTATTAACAATTATACAGAATGACAGTTCGAGAGAAAGTAGTTATTTACATTTTATTTACAAACTGTGTTATTATGACACAATTAGTAGTTTAATTAAAGACCAATGAATGAATATGTACTGTTTCTAAAATTGCAAGATCGTGATAAATTAAAAGTGACAATATTTAAGATTATATCATATCCATATAAAGGGATAACAATGTGAATGTACATTATGATATACAATGCTATCTAAAGGTTTTATCGTTAGAGCTGCAGATCTACAAACAATATTATCCGTCTATCTGTCTGATATCTGTCAAGTTGCGGTGTGTCAAGTGGTTCACAAGTTTATTCAGTGTAAACCCAATGCAGGTGACATTTAATTGAAATGTCAACTGTCAGACAATCCGTGTATAAGACATAACAGAATTGTACATCCCCACCATACTATGAATGAACAGTACTAGTGTGTGTGAGAACACATGTTGCTGCCAATGAGGTAGGCAACGGCCGATACACGTTGGTGCGTGACCATTATTTTACACACAGTTTAGAAATAAATATGAAAATTCAGCAATTTGAACGAATAGACAAATCTCTCCTTACCGACTCCATATTTCTTCCTTGACGGGCGCCAACTATGTTCGGCCATTGCAAGACGTTCGAACTGGGTACTTCCTGATCTCACAAATCTTGTCTGCTTTGCGTTAATATGATGTTGTGATCATGTGATCTCCTTCATGACCTTAAACTGAGGTGAAAGGTGAAAAGGTCATAAAATGAAAATCGTGGTTATTTCATGAAAATAAAATCAATTTAGAACCTGCATGTTCTCCACGTTTCATATTAATAAGTTCTGGAACACGAAGTTTGATGACAATGTATTTTAGTAGTGTTAATGGTGATTCAATTTGTTAATTTCCTCGGTCCTGAAAGATGGCGGCCTCCATGAAAATGACAGAAGCAGGTGCGCTAAGATAATCATTCAAATCCGGTTATTTGGGGATGTGATCGTCAAGTTTAACATTAAGATTATGTCTGGTCATAATTTATGCGTTATCACGACTTAGTACATGATTTGATGTTGATTATTTGTAGGGAATTTTCAGAAATCCGATTTATGCGCAATACACATTTCTACTTTCTGTTTGTCACTGTACATTACATGGAGGTACATCGATAGTCATACGGGTCACAGCACATGTATGTCACTATGTCCTGTACTTGACCCATAGTACCACGCACTTAGATAACATACTGATATGATATTACCAATATTAGTAGAAGAATATGTATGTGCAATTAAATACGTGTAGATGTAGGGATACCCCTTACTGTAACGGTCACTATTAGGTAAGCTGTACAGGTTCATTACAATACATAGAAAAACACAAATAGGAAGTTTGTTTGTTGTTGGTATGAACTTGAACTAATTAACTTTAGAGATTGTTTCAATATTATATTTCTTTATTGTGATTTAAAAACATAAATTAAAAAGAAGTGTGTTTATACAATGTGGTATGGTTGAATATGAGAAAAAGATCAATTGTTGCTAATGAAAACATTCTTTTGTAAAGAAAAGGAGGAAATATTTTTTCTGTACTAAAAATACGTTCCATAGCTATCAACCCTCCCTCATTAGGAGATCTCAAAATGAGCTCCTAGTTACTGCAGGGTGTGCATAACATAACATGTGTGTCTGAATCAAATGAATGCTCTTTGGAGTTATTTTGATACAGTAAAAAGGGAAAGATAAATTGAGCAAAGCAGCTTTAGCGCGTTTCACACACTTTCTCCCTCATTGGAAATGAGGAATGAGGCAGATGGGGATCTCCCTCATTGGAGGTTTCAGAGGTTGACACCTATGATGTTCAGATCGATCATTTCAGATAAGTTTAGAACACTATATCAGTACGTTTTTCTCAATCACAATAGGAACCTGATGAGTCTAGTTTTAATCAGAGCAGCCAGTTCCAAAACTTCTGAATGTGTATGTCTTGTTTCAGGAATATCAGAGCAGCCAGTTCTAGAGTCTCTGAATTTGTTGACGCTGGATAACAGTGAAGAAGATTGTGGGAATAAGAGCAGCCTTTCAGCCCTTTACACCTGTGTGTGTGCTTTGTGTGATGAAAAGTTTGATATAAAAGACGGAAATAATGACCTTTTACGCCATCTCCTTCTATCACACAAACTCGTCATTGCTGAAGTTCACTATGTAGCTGATTTGAAAAGGTACACGTATCTTAAAATGGGAGTGAAAGTTTTATGTAAATAATGACTCTGTAAGTAATAAAAAACTTTTTAATAGCGATTTAATATGATGTCTTCACTAATATCCTATCAAAACTTTAAATCTTATTAAACAGGTTTTTTATTACTTATAGAGTCATCAATAAAAAGTATCTTTATGTATGAACTAGTAATGTCTTCATTTCCATAATAGTTTGTCCAGTAACATTTATATATTAATAATTTTGTTTTTCACATAGATAATATTATAGTTTAATGAACATATTTTTAGTTTGTTTAAGGAGATCAGAAAGTGAGAATAGTTGACTAGGTCAATCACCATTGGTAGGGCATCTGAATTCTGTGTTTGATTTCAAACCCTGCCAATTGCATTTTTTCGCCCTTGTTACAATGATAATATTTTGTTGAGGTTTAGGGAAAATCTTTTGCCATTGAAATATTGACATTGCCTTAGCGTTTGAAGCATCACCATATTTAGACTTTGACTTATTATGTCATCCTCAGGTACCTTGTGTACTGGAAACGGCGGTTCAAGGAACAACCAATCACTGACTTCTGCTCTGTCATCAAAACCAACACCGGAGAGAAAGATATAGGTATTGTAAACTTGTTCTCAACAGTGCTGTTGTTAAAAAGTACATTTTTATTTATTTTACAATAATTGCGAAATAAGGTCCATCAAGTTATATTAACTTATTTACCCCTGATGACACATTCAAACTCTTTCAATTCAAAGGTAGGAATAGTTCATTATGAAATTTCAGGGGTGAACGAGGTAATCACTCTTGTTGGCCCGGATTGTAACGTGCAGGGGGTCTCAAAGAGCACCGGAGAAAAACTATGTAGTTAGAAAGGTGACCCCATACCTTTTCTCGTCTGATCAGGGAATCAAACCCCAGCCATTTCAAACCAACCCTAAAACTGGTTAGATGCCATGTAGTCGATGGTTTTGCAACGAACTCACTCTATTACGCTTTGAACATTGAGTGTTACCTATATTTATTGGTCATCTTGTGTAAGCAAAGATACATATGCCAGCTTTGTGCAACCAACACAGACAGTACAAGGGAGGTAACTCTAGGTATTTTTTTAATCAACAGATCCATCAGAAGACTATTATCTCCTGTGTGATGTTTTGCCTGAAGACAAAAGTTTTAGACAACATCTACAGAAGAAAAAACTTGTAAGCTTCATTTTTTATATACATTTTTTATATCTTAAAGTGCTATTACATCATTTACACCTCAGCTTTCGTTATTTTTCATTTCCTAAAGTATTATTAATATTGCTTTACCTGTTTCTTCATTATTTTATACTTATTCACTATTGACTTCTTATTCACTACATCAGTTAAAAGTGTAACTCCATATGTTAAGAAAAAGTTAATGGATGGGATAAAATGCATGGGCTGAAAAATTGATGGAATCGAAATTCCATTCTTCAGACATCAGTAGCAGCAGATATTTTGATTTAAGAACTGTATTGTAAATACAGTGTAAATAAATCATGTGGATCTTTCAAATATCAAGTTTTACCTGTAAATTGTTTTCATGACCAAATTTTACCATAAATGATTTCAGGGCGAGGTTTTACTACAACAACAAAGAGAGAGAGACGATGAGACGTTTTGCCGAACCTGCTTGTTCTGTCGTACACAATTTAACAAGAAGAGGTGCGCACCATATGTTTTTAAGTCAAATGCAATGCATAGAAAATCAATTCAGATTAATTATTATTATGCTAAGCAGTTTCTTTTCATGTTCCCAAATGAGTTTTGTTTAAATATATGCATGTCAGTTTTAATGTCATGACTGGAAAAAAGTGTTTCTTCAACAAAATTGAAAAACTTCTAATACAAAGTATTTCATATGGTTTAACTCATTCACCCCTGAAATTTCATAATGAATTATTCCAACCTTTGATTTGGAAGAGTTCAAATGTGTTTTCAGGAGTGAATTGTTTAACTGTATAAATCCTTAGTCATGATAACCTGTCACTCCCTGTGCAGTATGAATATTGGCACGCCTCACCCTTGTTCTTTACAGTTCCGAGTTACTGGACCACATGGCACACGATCATGGATTCAGCATCGGACTTCCAAACAACCTGGGTAAAACACACTCCTTAGAAATCTCACCATACATTTGAAGACATTAAACCTGTATTGTGGTGGTTTTTTTACATTTTTTAGACAAATATATATGTTAATGAATCGGCTAAGGGTCAGATATTTCATTAATATAATTTTGGAAATACATTCCATAGAGAATACTTTTTTGTCAAAGAGTTAATTTTTAATTATAATTTTCTAAATATCTATTCCGTGAAGAATTTGTTTATAATTTTTTTTTTTTTTTAAAGTTTTTATTGACGAGCTGCTGGAGAAGTTACAGGATAAGTTGAAAAAGTAAGTGACTTAGTGCCATTAACATGTTAATGTTGTGGTCCCCATATTACTGTTTTAGTTAACACATTAAAATTGTGGTTATCTTATTCCGTCTTTGCGTATTGCAGAGTTATCTTCTCTTGGGGGCAGGTATTGATTGTTACGTCATTGGTGGGTGCGAGAAAATTACGTCGTTTTCTCAAAAATTGATGAAGTTACTCTCACAAACAAGTGACGTAACAATCAATACCTGCTCCCAAGAGAAGATAACTCTGCAATACGCAAAGACGGAATTAGTGTTGTGGTAAATACATTAACATTATGGTTAACAGGTTGATGTTACAGTTATCATATTAATGTTCTAGTTAACAAGTTAATCTTCTGGTTAAAAAGTTATTATTTTTGTTAACAAGTTTATTTTGTGGTTAACAAATTAATGTTGTGGTTAGGAGGATTATGTTTTTGTTAACACATTAATTCTGTGGTATTTAAGTTAAATTTGTGGTGAAAATGTTAAAATTATAGTTAGCATGATAGTGGTTTGGTTTACACATTAATGTTCTGGCGTACACATTAGTTGTCTGGTTAACATGTTAATTTTTGGTTAATAAGTTAATATTGGGATTAACCCATTAATGTTTTGGTTAATCTATTAATGTTCTTGTTCATGTATTTCAGCCTACAGTGTCTTCACTGTGAGAGGACTTTCCGCGACCGAGCGATACTGAAGGAACACATGAGAAAAAAACAGCATAAAAAAGTCAACCCAAAGAACAAAACTTACGACAAGTATTACATTATAAACTACCTGGTAAGTACCTATAAGTTCTGTCATTATAAACTACCTGGTAAATACCTAGCTTTTGGTGCAGACATATTACACACTAATGATATAAGTTCGGTCATCGTAAAAGAAGTATTCTTACTATTTATGCCATTCCATATCATTTTTCATCATCGCATATAAGTTTGATTGCAGATACGTAGTGAAATATACAAATGTACATACATTTAGATGATTATCTTACAAATCAGATCATAGAGTAGATTAAAAAATTCTGTCATAAAGTAAAGTAATGGGAGTTGAAATTATCAGGGCTCTTTTTTCCCCCTTAATTTGGGATGGGTCCTTTTTGTCTCCTTTTGGAAAGAAAATATACCAATAACTTGGGGAGGACATTTTCAGGAGTAAACTGCAAATTTTAGAATTAGACATTAATATGAAAAAGTTTCAATTGGGAATGAGGCCCTTTATTGGCCTTGAAAAATCCCTAGAAATATCCCTGGCACTCATAAAAAATGCCAAAATATTTATCCCAATGAAGAAATATCTGTTATTTATCAAGAAGTCATAAATATCATCCATTAGTTACCCAATAGACCACAAGCTAACCACCCATAGCTGGTACATTGAAAATTATTTGAGATTTATTGTGGATACTTTTTGTTTTAATTCTAGAAATAGTTTTGCTTTATTATGTAAAAATGTGGTGACAGTGGAAATATAAACAACTGTACATGCCCTTAGTTTGTTGATATTTCCAGGAGATGGGTAAAAACTGGGAGGCTATTCAACAGGAAAATGACCGTGACATTGTCAGTGACGACAGCACAGAAACGGAAGAGTAAGTAACTTCATTGTCCAACATTTTCCCATTTCCTGTGGTAGGTTTCGTAATCTTTAATCCCAGCCAGTAGTTAACTTTTCAATAGATATATTTCATTTTTGTGTTATCAAATAAATTTGAAATTTAGCAAAAAATGTCCCGACTCTCTTTGGGGAATGGGGACGGAAATTTGGTTCCAATCATTTATGCAGGAAAAACCCTGTTAGTAGGGTAGCAGAGTACAGTAGAAATGGCTTGATCTTGAATATATAGGGCATATCTCGGATAAACATGTATAGCGGATTCATCCTGCACAACACACCTGCATATATATATATATTTATAAACTACATTTTGAAACGGTTTTTTTAGAAGAAGGATTTTTTTTCAAAAAGTGATTTCCCCAGATTTGGGACTTGTGAAAACCATGGTTACAGAAAACGCCCAAAAATGCCAAAAAAACATGATTTTTAACCCGAAATTTGACCTATGCAAGTAGTTTTTTTTTTTTTAAACCTGGCTTAAATTAAATATCACCTACTAGGTAACAGAAATACTCACGTTTTAGCATAGGTCATACCGGTGGATTTTTCACAATATTTACACATGTGCTGAGTACAAAAATAGACTACATGAAATGCTAGCTTTTTTGATGTAGACACAGATTTGTAAATGGCCAAAAATGCAGTCTCAAACCAAATTCAATTTTTTTTTTAAATGTAAAGCCATCATAGTCCACTTCATCATGTATATGCCAATTTTAGTGCTTTTTTTTTTTTTTAAGTTTTGATACATGTTATATTACAGGGGTTATTCATTGTACAAAAATATCACCCATGGCCACCGTACGCTGCTGTACACTGCTTCCTAGTTCTTAGCCTTTTAATATATTTTACTTTTTGTTGTCATCCAGTCTATATTGTTAAGCATTGTGTCAAATCTCCACATTTACTTATGACGGTCGTTACTGTGTTTCTTGTTAACAGTGAATGGGAAGGATGGCGGGAGGAGGCCGGGTCACAAGCTGTCTGTCTCTACTGCATGTTTTCCTCAAGTAACCCAGCTAAACTCAGCGCACATATGCAGGTCAGTACCAGATCAACATCCACAAAGGGGAAGGATCATTAAAAGCTCCGTCTGTCCGTCTGTCTGTCTGTCGGTCCATCCATACAATAGACACTGCCCCTTGAAACACATTTTGATGAATGATACAGCAATCAAGTTCACAGACTTTGGTTAGACTTTGCGTTTGGCTCCATTAGCACTAGAAGTTCAGCTCTCACCAAGCTTCAGTTCTGAATACATCTTGAGGATAAATACACCAACATCTTCAGGAAAAAAAAATCCCACTCAAAAGTAAGCAGTCATCATTAACTTGAAATAGTAACCTAAACTCATGTTGAAAAAAACCCAGTTGCCTCACTCTGCTCACCTCACTCTGCTCAGCAGTGATAATGGTGTCCCATTATCAGATCAATTATTTGCCTTACTTCCTTCGGCGAAGTTTGAAATGACTTAGCAGACAATCAAGGTTAGGTTTCCAAATACTGAAGTTTTACACGAATGTAGGTCTAGCATCAAGGGTGGGTTCCCAAAGATCCTTTAGTTTGGTAACGTTTATAAAGCATCAAGGACTTTAATTTATGATTGATAAGACCATTTTCAGAATAAGGAACACTCACTTCTTTAAAGAATTTGACAGCTAAGGAAAATTACTATGTCCAATCCCACTGTTTTACAAAATACATACATCGTATGACCTAGGTTACATTCACATTTTCCTGTTGAAACAGTTCAGGTGGCGCAGAAATATTCCACGATAAACAAACGCACTAGGACTGGACTATAGGCAGAGCTAAGAAATGCACAGTTTCGGAGAATAAATAACAAAATATAAATAATAATATCTCATTCTTTCACACGTCCACTAAATTATATAACTTATCTTAAAATCTACATGTGGAATAACTTTGTTTATAAAAGATATAAATGTGTTGAATATTCCTGAGGTCAGCCTCGGTTCAGATCTGTGCCTGTCATTCTTTCAAGTTCAACCATTTCAACTGATTGAACCAGATACGTGGAATGGACCCTAGTCCTTATTCCTAACTCTAGTGTCTCTGACAGCTCTAAGACTAATAAGAAAGTACTTGATTAAACTTGAGTTAGCTCCCTTCTCTCATGGTTATCACAGCAAACTGATCACCGGAATGAGCCTTTTAAACATTTTCTATAAGTACTGTAATTGTTTTCTTCAGTTCACAAACATTCACTGGTTTGAAGATGATAAAGGTTTCTATGGCCAGTAATGATATTGGCACTATAACTTACATGGTAACTTAAATCTTAGTTATCGGTTTCAAACAGGGGGGAGAACTCTTTCTAACTTGTACGTTGTACTGTGGGGATTAGGGTGATATAGTAACTGAAGCTTACATTGTTACTGAATACAATGACCCTTGTTGTTTTCGTCAGATCTAATTACCTCACACGATATTGTGCCGTGTCATGATTACTGTTTTTTTTAAACTGAACCACAAACACTGCCCAAAGAATTTTGTTTTTTGGACATTTAAATCCTTGGATAACTTTAGATATATATGTAAAAAAAAGCAGCCAAAGAAAACTAAATAAGTTGATATTGTAAAAAGTAAATATCCATTCCAAATGGGAAGTATCTAGACATATTCTTCAGATTGGGAATTACATAAATAGAAAAAAAATAGCAATATGTAATTTACACTTTCTGGACATTCCTGAGTAAATATTCATTGTTTGCTAGGTCAAATGCAAGACCGAACTTTGACTGTACAAATTCTTCAAAAAAACATGTTTTTATTTGTACTCTAGGATATTCTACAATGTAAATAACACTTAGCTTTCTGTATTTCAGGAACTTCACGATCTCGACTTTCAAGAAATAAAACTGAAAATGAATTTAGACTTTTATCAACAAGTCAAACTTATTAACTTCATACGAAGACAGGTAAGCAAAAAAATTGATATAAACACATCAGCTGTGCTACAATAGGGTGCACACATCTTTGAATTATGAAATTTGATTAAGATTTTAAGTAAAAAAAAAAGTTCTCAAATATTTGTTTTCTGATAAATATAATGTTTAGCCCCACTAAACAATTGTCCTTTTGGGCCATTTAAAAGTTTTTTGCCCAGTACTTACTGGTACTGCAAAATACATCGTATTATATATAATAGTTTACTTTCCATGTTGAATGGGTGAATCAGAAAACAATGTAAAAAATGGAGAAGACATTTCCAGTTTTGGATACAAACAAATCTATTAGGAGACCACCGTCATCTCCTCTCCACAGGACAGTTTACTATAGCTATAATCTATTAAGACACTATCTCTGGTAAGAGACTATATCTGGTAAGAGACTATCTCTGGTAAGAGACTTTCTCTGGTAAGAGACTTTCTCTGGTAAGAGACTTTCTCTGGTAAGAGACTTTCTCTGGTAAGAGACTATCTCTGGTAAGAGACTTTAACTTTGAAAAAACACCTATTGTTTTGAAAAGATCTTCATTAAGATCCAAGTTGTGTCTGCTTTTCAGGTCACCAGTTTAGATTTTGTTTGGTCCAATATAACTGTGTCATCTTTATGAAACCTTGGTAATTTTATATTTTACAACCTTTGCACTTCAGGTTCACCTGTGCACCTGTATTGGTTGCCAGACCAAGTTTGAAGATAAGCAGACATTGTTGGACCACATGCACGAATTGGGTCACACCAACCTAATTCCTGAAGTAGCTCTCTGGGACCAGCCTCAGTAAGTACACAAACTAGGTCACACCAACCTAATTCCTGAAGTAGCTCTCTAGGACCAGCCTCAGTAAGTACACAAACTAGGTAACACCAACCTAATTCCTGAAGTAGCTCTCTGGGACCAGCCTCAGAAAGTACACAAACTAGGTCACACACACTTAATTCCTAAAGTAGCTCTCTGGGACCAGCCTCAGTAAGTACACAACTAGGTCACACAAACCTAATTCCTGAAGTAGCTATCTGGGACCAGCCTCACAACTAGGTCACACAAACATAATTCCTGAAGTAGCTATCTGGGACCAGCCTCAGTAAGTACCCAAACTAGGTCACACAAACATAATTCCTGAAGTAGCTCTCTGGGACCAGCCTCAGTAAGTACAGAAACTAGGTCACACCAACCTTATTCCTGAAATGAGTTCCAATATGAAGTCAGGCTCAGTACATAAATTAGGTTGTAGTTCTATTTTTACTTTATTTAGCACTCCTTTGAATATATATATTTTTAGTAACAAAAGATGTCATTATAACTATGTTTGATGAGATGAGTTTATCATCTGATGTGACTGTCTATTTAATTCCCATGGAAGGTCTGCCTTGACAGTGTTTTTGTGCATATTTAGACTTACTTCTTCTGAACAGTATAACTTATTAACCAGTTTAGCCTCATTTGGTTTTTTTAAATAAAAGAAAACTGTGAATAATTATATTTGTTTTCGAATACAGAGTAATTTGAGCTTTTCCTGCATCCTGTAGGTAGATAATGGTATTATCCTTGCTGGTAATTTCCTGTGTGGTGTGTACTTTACTGACATCGCCCACAAAACAGATCACTTTGTTCCTGTCCATTTAACGTCAGCGCTCTACACAATTACACCAGTTCAAAAACACACAACAACCAGCAATCCCAAGTCATATTCAACAACGAAAACCTTCAATTATATTTAGCTTTAAAAAGTTTCCTGTCAGAAATTATAAAACTCCCATGATATCCAATTACCTGGTCTTTGCCTGTTTTTGGGACATATCACGCCAAATTAGGTTTACTTCTACCGAGGATTTAAACACATCAACTGTCTTTTAAACGCTGACTTAAGTGTAATAATTGTAGATAACTGATAAATTATTTACGCTTTCTCATACAGAGATAAACTTCAATCATAGAGGCTTCTATTAGAGTACACCTGTAGCTGTATGTTATAGATTTGTCTATAGAGAACACTTACACCTGTAGCTGTCTGTTGGAGATTTGTCGATAGAGGACACTTACACCTGTAGCTGGCTGTTATAGATTTGTCTATAGTGAACACTTACACCTGTAGCTGTCTGTTATATATTTGTCTATAGAGAACACTTCCTCCTGTAGCTGTCTGTTATAGATCTGTCTATAGAGAACACTTCCACCTGTAGCTGTCTGTTATATATTTGTCTATAGAGAACACTTACACCTGTAGCTGTCTGTTGGACATTTGTCTATAGAGGACACTTACACCTGTAGCTGAATGTTATAGATTTGTCTATAGAGGACCCTTACACCTGTAGCTGTCTGTTGGAGATTTGTCGATAGAGGACACTTACACCTGTAGCTGAATGTTATAGATTTGTCTATAGAGGGCACTTACACCTGTAGCTGTCTGTTGGAGATTTGTCTATAGAGGACATTTACACCTGTAGCTGTATGTTATAGATTTGTCTACAGAGGACACTTACACCTGTAGCTGTTTGTTATAGATTTGTCTATAGCGGACACTTACACCTGTAGCTGTCTGTTGGACATTTGTCTATAGAGGACACTTACACCTGTAGCTGTATGTTATAGATTTGTCTACAGAGGACACTTACACCTGTAGCTGGATGTTATAGTTTTGTCTATAGAGGACACTTACACCTGTAGCTGTCTGTTGGAGATTTGTCTATAGATTACACCTGTAGCTATCGCTCTCTGTTATAGTTAAGCTCATGGATGGCATGTATTAATTCCTTCTTGTAATAGTCATATACCTTACTTCTGTGTAAATGTTCTAGCGAAAGGTTACATGTCAATGAAAACAACACATCTTTTGATGTACTTGCATCAATTTATAAATCCTGTCTTTTTATGTCAAGGCCAAGGTCACATCTCTTTATGTCTAGGTAAAAATCACATCTGTATACATCCTTATAAATATTCCAGCCATATGTTTGTTTCCAGGTCAAGGTCACAGCCTGTGAAGGTCAGTGCCTGAACAAACCAATACTTAAATCAGAATATACATATATACAATATGTCCATGTTAAGGTTCCGGGTGGATGTAGAAATCACATCTCAATAAGTCCCTGTAAATCACTTTACTTCATATAATCTTTGTATAAATCATACCTTATCATGATCTTTGAAAAAGAAAACCTATCCTTAAAGTGTATTTAAATGTTTAGAATGTGAAACCAATTCTAAAAATCATTAATGATATATTGGTGAATACACCTGAGTCACAATGAAAAGACATTCTCTCGCCCTTATAAACTGTCACTGGAAATAGTTCAAATTTCTTTTTAAACTAGGGTTGCCGATCAATCGTTGGATATTTGAGGCGAGAAATATTTATCATTAATTACAAACTGTATTTAGTGAGTTTTTCTGGGTGGATAATTACTTGTGATCTATGACTCCTTATTGACGAGCTAAGTATACAGTATAACATGCTATTTCGTGATACCTTTCATGGCTGGAACAAAAGGTCGGAAGTGTACGCTCTGATAGAGTGAAAGGCCGTCATAGAATGGTGCAGTGAAATAAGCGGGGTGGGGGACCTTCCCGTACCTGTCCAGGTAGATATTCCCACCCTATCATTACACCTGTGGCAGCCCCCATGAAGATAGCCTACCTGTGAGTCTCATTAACCCTTAGTACCAAAGTCTTGTGTAAAAAACTAGGTGTGTAATATAGTGAAAGTCAGAGGGTGCGGTAAAGGGGCTGAAAGTTTGAGGTTCCGATCAGGTAGATTGATTGATGCTTTGGTAATCTAGCCTTCTTCATTTCTAGCAAAAGTTGGCTAGATAGTTGGACAACCTGTCCCCTAAACAACTGGCTAGATAGTGGGACAACCTGTCCCCTAAACCACTGGCTAGGTAGTGGGACAATCTGTCCCCTAAACCACTGACTAGGTAGTGGGACAATATTTCCCCTAAACTACTGGCTAGATAGTGGGACAATGTGTCCCCTAAAACACTGGCTAGGTAGTGGGACAATCTGTCCCCTGAACCACTGGCTAGGTTGTGGGACAATCTGTCCCCTAAACCACTGGCTGGATGGTGGGACGACCACATTAAGAGTGGATAAATTAAAAAGGTGTGGCTCCACCTGAATTTTATTTAATGATTGCAGAAAAGTTCATTCTTTTTTAAAATTAGTATGACCCATTCTCTCACACGAAATTCCCATATCAGAATTTATTTAATGTTGTATTCTCTTTTTGTATCAAAATGAAATTGCTGAAAATAGCTTATTCACTTGACATATGTATTCCTGGTAACACCGGAGCTAACAATACACAGACACTTACAGTAATACAGGTGTTTGGAAATGTTACTCGGTGTTTTTATATATGACTCAAACATACATTAATTGCTTCAAAAGCGCCTTGACAAGTTTAAACCATAATTATCAAACTGACCACAAGTCTTATCTGCTAGTTTTATCTCAGAAACTCGACACAAATGAAACAGGTAATAAAGGTACGGAAATAATCGGGAAGATCTAGTGCTGTCACGCATGACCCACAGCTGCATTGTGGGAAAATAGGTACTAGCTTGGTTGATGAGAAAATGGAATAGCATACTATTTAAAATTGGACTTGAAAGAAATTAGTTTAATTGTTGTATTTGTTAAATACTTTGAATTTAGTTCTAATTTATGTTCACTTAATTCAAAGGGAAATTAGATTAAGCTTTCGCTTCAGATTTCGATAAACTTAAAGTTGTCACTGTAAAAAATCAAACATTCCCATTTTCAGTAGCAATTGTATTTGAGGTACTGTAGTCTTGTTTTTTTGAACAAATCCAATCCTATATATTTCATTCAAATTTGTCATATTCTATTCAGTTACAAGAATGGAAAAGAATATACAATAAAAGATATTTATGATACAACTGTATGATGTAAGTTCAGATATGTAATTCTCTTCTCTTCGTCAATGTATTTCTCATCAGACAGATAATTTATTCAGATTCCTTGACAGATGACATCTGTGATCACAAAAATTATTCAAAGCAAAGAGATAAAAAAGAAGGTAAAGCAAAATAGTTTCTCAAACAAGTCTTTCTTGCTCTTTTTTGGGTTTAAATCGTATAATTAAACCTTTATACAGCCAATGGTATTTTTCTGTTTAAGTCTATATTTGGTGATGGTCAATAATTCCCGAGTCTACTCTTCATGTATACTTTTAAGTAAGAAACATCTTGTTGTCTTTACTGACTTGACAAGAGGTTCATTATCTTAGGGATCCCTGTCCCACAGCACTGTGGTTCCCTATATACAGTACCCTCCCCTTAACTTCCTTAAGGATCCCTGTCCCACAGCACTGTGGTTTTACCTATATACAGTACCCTACCCTTAACTTCCTTAAGGATCCCTGTCACACAGCACTGTGGTTTTACCTATATACAGTAACCACCCCTTAAGGATCCCTGTCCCACAGCACTGTGGTTTTACCTATATATATATACAGTACTCTCCCCTTAACTTCCTTAAGGATCCCTGTCCCACAGCACTGTGGTTTTACCTATATACAGTACCCACCCCTTAACTTCCTTAAGGATCCCTGTCCCATAGCACTGTGGTTTTACCTATATACAGTACCCTCCCCTTAAGTTCCTTAAGGATCCCTGTCCCACAGCACTGTGGTTTTACCTATATACAGTACCCTCCCCTTTAATTCCTTAAGGATCCCTGTCCCACTGCACTGTGGTTTTACCTATTTACAGTAACTTCCCCTTAACTTCCTTCCCTGTCCCACAGCACTGTGGTTT